GCTGGAGGGCACTTTTGACATGGTGGTTCGGCGCTGACCTCGGATTTTACGTAACGACCGTCATGTCCATTGCGACCGTCACTGCCGATTGGGCCGTCCTTACCTATCGTATAGTGATGATGGTGGACTCTAGCGCAAATTTAGAATTTTCTCCCTGGAATTGCCTAACCTGGTCTGCCATCGTATCCCCTGGGTCCAGGTGGTCCAGGAGGCCCTTGTTGACAACTGCAACCTGCAAAACTGCCTAATTATCAATTTTGAACCTCTTTTGAATCAAACAAGAAGGAGCAAATTTCTGACGGGGTTTTAGCTAACCAGAAAGCAATATTTACCCTGTTAAATAGTAATTTTTTCTTGCAACCTTTGCTTTTTTCATTAAAAAAAACACAAATTCCTGAATAAAACATGAAAAAGCTGACATGATCCGCTTGGAGCTGGAGGACCGGAGGCTTCGTAGCCTGTAGCCTGATACTGTCGTCTCGTTCTTCCCAGCAGTTTTGATTGCGTAAGCTGGCGCCAAATATCGTTCGAGTCTTGCTAAACAGAAGGGAAAAATGCAAGAGGTTTCGGTCATCCTAAAAACTACTGTACTTACATGGCATTTGTGCAACTGCGTAAACATCAGTGTATTGGCCCTCTGCATTCGAATGAAGAACATAGGTAGAATAGCGGAAATCATGAAAAAGCAAGTAGTTGAGAAGGCCGACAACAACACGGTTGTTGTCCGTGTGGACACCATCGCTGCCCTACAAATTCAAAAGTTAAAAGGTAGTAAAAATGAGACACATGTAAGAGAAGAGGTGTATCTGCATTGCACATGGGATATATGCAACTGTGGAGTGCTGACCTTGATGTTCGTCGGATAACCTAGTGCAAATATATCTTATACCTGGCCTCATCATTCCAACATTGGATATGAGTTGAGAGAAAAATACTTACGAATAAAAAAGCCCATTTCAATTAACTATTGCTGTAAATCTATGTTTTAATAGCTTAAACCTTAGTCGATTTACTAAAGTAAAGCCTTGTCTTATTGGAA